AAGTTATTAACGAAAAAAGTAACAAAAGAAATAATATCAATGGGGGGGTTGGTGGGAGGATTGGGGAAAATTATTAAATTGAATAACTATTAAATCTTCGCCTTACTAAATAGATGAGTCTACAATACACCAAAAATAATAGATACTGAAAAGATTAGACAGACCCCTACAAGGTAGAAAGTATATTAAATTGAATATTTTTGGATCTGTCTAATCTTTTCGGTATCTATTATTTTTGGTATATTGCAGACTCATGTATTTAGTAAGGCAAAGATTTAATAAATATTTTTACCTTGCGTAGGGATCTGTCTAATCTTTTCGATATCTATTATTTTTAGTATATTGTAGACTCATATATTGTATAAGGCGAAATATAACTTTGATCTTATATGACTTTAAATGTGATGATACAAATATAAACACGCAGACGCTTCTCAGTGAGGAATGAGGTTGTGTCTATAGTCTTTGTATTTAGTAGTAACGGAAGTTTCAATACGTGAACATGCGGTTTCACGACTTTTTACGTTTAACTTTCAATCATGGAGAGTTAGTTGCTTACCTTTGTAATAATAATATAATTAAACGAACGATTAAGTGTCGAAAACGAACGATTGAAAAGATTAAACAGACCCCTACGCAAGGTAAAAATATTTATTAAATCTTTGCCTTACTAAATAAATGAGTCTACGATATACTAAAAATAATAGATATCGAAAAGATTAGACAGACCCCTACGCAAGGTAAAAATATTTATTAAATCTTTGCCTTACTAAATAAATGAGTCTACAATATACCAAAAATAATAGATATCGAAAAGATTAGACAGACCCCTACGCAAGGTAGAATGTATATTAAATTGAATATCTATTAAATCTTCGCCTTACTAAAAAAATAGAAGCATTAAAGCACGTATTTTTACAATAAATATTATCTATGTAATAGGCGGGAGGAGGGGCTCCGCCTCAACCCCCTGCACCCCCCCACCCCGCCTGCGCCCATACTACCCACTGGGGGGGGGAGGGCTTCGCCTCCCCAACCCTCCATTGGTATTATTTTTTTTGTTACTTTTTTTGTTAATAATTTTTTAACGAATAACGAGCGACGGCTAAAACCACCTGAAGGTTACTTGAGGTTATGCCCTTGACAACATATATAAAGGGCAAGATCATTGGAGCAGCCTCCCTAC